TTGCAGGCCCCGCACGTGCTCAGCCAGCCGCGCCTCCGCTACAAGGTGGTGGAGGCCGGCACGTGGGACGAGGAGGCCGCGGCCGAGAGCGTCGTGGAGGAGCTGCGGCCCTCGCAAGGTGAGCGCGCGGCCCCCCACCCGCGGCCCCGGAGTCCCATGGCCCGGGGAGCCCCCCGGCCGCCCCTTCTCACCCCAGGGCTCTGCGACGTGGGCTGGGCCGCGCCCCCTCTAACGCCCGTGACGGAGGGGGGCGCCCGGTGATCAGTGCCCCAGAGAGGGCATTTAGTCAAGCTATCCTGACCCAAACTAGAAATGATCTTCGTGACTTGTACCCATTTCGTGCCTGTGCGCGTTGCGCTCTCTACCTCCCCTGTCCTCACACGAGAGGGGGAAGGGGTATGACTTTCTATGTTGTGGATGAAGAAAATGAGACCCAGGAAAGCCACCCGAAGGCACATCGCTGATAAATGGCAGAGCCAGGCGTCAAGCCACAAGTCTGGGACTCTCCTCCTGGACTACCAGGGCCCAGATAAGTCCAGGCCTGGGACCAGAACAGCCCAGAACCTAAGCCTTGCAGGTGGTGGTAAAGTGATGGGCCGGTGATGTTAGTGGGGATGGGAACATGGGCCATAACCCCGGGCAGGGTACTATAAAGAAGGGAGGTGTTTCTAGACTCAAATCCCAGCTTCTCTGCTGGCCAGCTATGTGACCTTGGACAGGGGATTTTACCCTTCTGGGCTTTGGTTTTGGCATCTGTCAAATGGAAACAGTGCTGAGCCTTCCTCACAGAGCGGTTAGGCCCAGCGAAGTGGATGCAAGCCACCACCAGAAGTGACCGAAATGTCCTGCAAATGTCACACAGTACTGCTTTGTGAGTGGGGGTGAATACACTCTCCTGGCCACGCAGCCATGTCAGGTTTGGAGCTTCATGGATGTGTTTGGAGAGACTGTATCCTGATGGGTCAGGCCAGGGTTCAGCCTCCGCTCACGGAGCTCAGGAGGGAGCCAGGCAGAAGGGATCTGAGCTCATGTCAGAGCCCAGAGGGGACCCTGGGAGCCTCGCGTTGGTCTCCTCCCCAGGCATCGTTCTGCTCACGTCTCCATCCTCGCTGCCCTAACTTTTGTTCTGGAAAATGTCATTGTCACCAAAATGATGGTTATGGGGTTTTTTCACTTTATTTTAAATATTGACTCTATTATTAGAAATTATTTTAAATATTGACTTCCTCCAATTTAAATTCAAAATACATTTTCAGATTCACACTTTCTACCTAAAGGGACGGGAACTAAGACTCATCAAGCTCCTCCATCTGGGCTCTGTATTGTGTGATCCTGTTTCACCCTCACCCCTCCTTGCTCTTACACAGAGGAGAAAACTCAGAGAAGTTAAGAGAATCACACAGGGCCACCCAGCCAGGAAATGGTGCTGCTGGGCCTGGAACCGGGGCTGCGGGACTCAAAACCCCAGCTTGATCCAGGGGTCACTTCACCTTGGCGTGTCGTGTCCCCCTTGCCAGGGCATCGAGGACAGAGCCTGCAGGCCGAGGAGGCTGGGAGGCAAGAGGCTGAGCTCCAGACTTGGCCAGTCCCCAGCTCTGACTTGAGGCTTCCGTGTTCCCTTCTGTAAAATGGACTCATAGCTCCAGCTCCATCGGCCTCACAGGAATTGTGAGGAACCCATGGGTGTGAGAAAGCTCTGTAGGCTGTTAGACACTGAACAGGCTTTGGGGAAAGAGGTGGTCGTTATTATGATCTTTCGAGAGATCTTCAGATCTTAGAACCATAGAATTTGGAGGCTAGTCAGTTGCTCAGAGTGTGGTGTTATAACACCAAGGTTGAGGATTTGGATCCCAATACCAGTCAGCTGCAAAAAAAAAAAAAAAAAAAAAAAAAAAAAATTGGGGGGCTAGAAGGGACTTCGGAGTCTAGCCCTTCAGCTGTTGTGCAAATCCCATCTTTAATTCCCTGCCAAGAGGCTGTGTGGCCTCAGCTCACCTTCCTCTAAGAACAGGTGCTTAATATCTCCGGGGCAGCCCCCCACCGTTAGATGCTCTGCCTAGAAGACATTCTTCCTCAGACTGAGCTGAGGCCTGCCCCCCGCACCGCCTCCCCCACTTGGCTGCAGTTTTTATGCACAGGTGGGTGCCTTTCCAGCTGAGGCTTCCTTTTAGAGACTGTTTTCTCCTCCAGGGACAGTCACCTGCACTCCCACAGCCAATCCGCAGGGGACAAGCTCTCCAAGTTCCTCCCGTACTGTCGCCTCTGTGAGCTCTCCAAAGTTCTGGTTCCTCTCAGTAACATCCAGAACTGAACACAGATATTGGGGAACGGCAATTCCAGAGCAAAGTGCCCAGGGGCCACTCCTGCTTTTGTGTTCTGGACCCCCGTGATGCAGCCAGAATGTTCCGGAGCCTGTGGTGGCCGCCTGGCCTGAGCTCACAGCTGACCTGGGCCTCATGTGTGCCTCATGCGGCTCTGCTGAGCCCCGTGTCCTGCAGCTTGTCCTTGGGCAGTTGGCTTTTTGTGCCCCCATGCAGAACTTCACATCCATCTGTGGTCAGCTGTAGCTTGTTTGATTCCTGCCTTTTCTCTAGGGCTTGATAGGTCCTAATTCACAGCCATCACCAGTTCCTGCTGTTTTACTTCCTAGGTAGATCTTGAAACAGTCCCCTTCTTCATCTTCATTGTTCAGTCTTCGTTTTCTCTGGACCTGACCTGGCTCCCTGACCTCAGCTTTGCCCGCACATGTGTCCTCTGCAGTCTCCCCTCCCTTACCACGCAGTGATCTTTCCAGAATCTTTTACCATTACTGGTTCTTTGTGTCCCTCAGGGAAAAGCCCAAGCTCCTTAGGGTGGTGTGTTAGTTTGCTAGGGCTGCTGTAACAAAGTTCCACAAGTTGGGTGGCTTAAACAACAGAAAAATGTATTGTCCCTCAGTTGGGGAGGCTGGAATCCGAGATCAAGGTGTCGGCAGATTGGTTCCTTCTGAGGGCTCTGAGGGAAAATCTGCCCGGGCCTTCCTAGCTTCTGTGGTTTGCTGGCCGTCCCTGGCATTCCTTGGCTTGGCATCTTCCTGATTCCTGCCTTCACCTTCACCTGGTGTTCTGCTTCTCCCTGTGTGTGCCTGTGTCCAGATTCCCCTTTTTATAAGGCCCCCAGTTATATTGGATTAGGGGCCCACTCCAGTTTGACCTCATCATAACTAATTACATCAGCCACAAGCTTGTTTCCAAATAAGATCATATTCTGAGTTTTTGGGGGTTAAGACTTCAACATATGAATTTGGGGGGTGGGTCACAACTATTCAACCCATAGTGTGGGCATATGAGACCCTTGCTGGCCTTGCCACTGGCTGCCTCCCTGACCTCATCTCCTTCTACCCCAGCTTGGCTTTCACTCTAGTGGAACGAAACAATGGCCCTTAGTTCTCTACGTGTCCTGTGCAGTTGCATGTCCCTGAGCCTTTCCACTTGCTGTTCCCAGGGTGGCCTGGCCTGCCTGCCAAACTTCTCTTCATCCTCAGAACGCATCTCAGAGTGAGTCCTCAGATCACCATCCTCTTCCCTGGAGACCTTGCATCAACTCCACTGGGCCCGATGGTGCCGGGCTGCCATGAGCGTTTACATGGATCTTTTCCCCAGACTTGTTTATCTCCAGGGACTGCCCGGCCCTTGCCCTCAGCAGGCTTTCCACGGGTTTTTTTGTGCTGAATGCAGTCATGAGTCCATCACTGCTCAAAGAACAGATGGGTCCCTGCAACCCGGCATCTTCTCTGGGAGCTCAGAGGCCGTTGGCACCAGCCCACTCCGAAACCACACGCTTGGCTTTCAGCTCCCCAGGCTGGTGCTTGTGGAATCCACCTTCTTATTCTTTCTGAAAGTTCTTCTGGAAGGCAACAACCACTTTTGCCCGCTTAGTCTTGCTTCCCAAGGCTGGAGGAGCTGGTTTACAGTCTTGTGGCTCATCCTGGGATCTCCTCCTCAATGGGGATGGGGCAGAGTGAGTGCAGGAGCTGTGGCTTTGCTGTCCCAGGTTGAACCAGCCTCTGCCTCGCTCACGGCCACAGCAAGGCCTCCCTGTTGCTCAAGGCCCATTTTGACGCTGCAGCTCACCTGGGGCTTAGGCCTCCCAGTGCCTTCTTCCTGCAGGTCTTAGCACTTCCGGTACAGCCGCTCTCTGCGGCTTGTACTGTTTCTCTCTCACCAGGGTCCTTAGCTCTAGAGATGACAGCCTGGTCTGTTGTTGACCTATGGACCCTGGATGCCCGATGCCACACTTGAGCCCACAGGGAGCCAAGACCTGGGCTTGGAGGGCCACAAACCCACCAAGATTTTAAAATAATCCTGCACATTCCAGGAGTGCTATGAAGCTCTGAGTCCCTGCCTATTCACCTGCTGCTCCTCTCTCTGCAGCCCCCATATTGGGAGACTTCTAGAAGGAGGGAGGCAGGGGCAGGAGGGAGAAAGCTGGGTCAGAGTCGAAGCCCTCTCAGAGTAAACTTGATGAACTGCGTGTCACCAGCCAGGGTGTCACGGGGTCTACACCATCTCTGCTCACTCTCCTAGAAACTACGGGGATGGGGTGTCTGAACAAGAGAGCCTCAGGGCTCCCATAGAGATACCAAACATGCACCCCTGGGAGCACTTGAAAATGCGCCTCCTGTCCAGCCGTGCTCTCCTTTATCTCCTGTATGCCACCCCCTGGGTACCTCCCAGCTCTCTGGATGCACACCTGCCCGTGCCTGCCCCAGCCTATGCAGCCACCCAGGCACGATGTTTCACAGCCAACCCAAGAGCCATCAATAGCCAAGCCAATGCTCCAAGGAGAGGGCAGAACATGGGGGCTAGCAGAGACACGCATGATTCACAGCCTCGAACGGTCCAGGGACACAGGGCATGCCCCAGCTGATCGCTCTCTGACCAGAGCTGTGTCCAGAGAGGGATTTCCATGACATCAGAAATTACAGCCAGACAAGCTGGGGGCAGGCACTCTGGGCCACTCTGGAGACAAAGAAAGGACAGCATTTGTCGCTGACTGTGACCTTCAGGCCAGGAGGGTTCTGAGGCCCATCTCGTGTGCAACAGGGCACAGACAGTCCTAGGATTAACCTGCAGACAT